CCTGGTCTCTGCCTACACATGCCTCTTCAATGTATTCGCTGTGCTGTCTACGTACGAACATTTCAAGGGCTTCCCATTGGTTCTAGAATTAAAAACCAATCCTCAACATGACCTAGCCTCCAGCTAGCTCTCCTGCCCCATCCCACGCCACTCTCCATTGCTCTCTATGCCACAGCCACACTAGCCTTCTCTCAGCTCCTTCTGCCTGAACTCCTTTCCTTATTTACCTGGTATACCCTCATCCTTCAGATCTCAGCTCCAGCATTCCTTCCTCAGGGAAGTCTCCCGTGCTCCTGGGCTAAGTCAAAATCTCCTTATTAAAAAAAATTATAATAACAATCCCATTATAAACTCTCATGGCACCTTGTACCTGGACTTCTCAGCACTTAGAAAGTTGCCATTTTACATCTACCTGTACATCACTTAGCTCTAGTTACTGAGTACTTTCAAGTCTCCCTTACCTTCAGAGGTTCTTCTTGAGCCACCTGCTCATTCAGCTTTTTGGTGTAAGCATCACAGATTTCAGTCACTTGCACAAAGCCCTTGAGGCCATTCGGCAGGCTAACCACCAGCTCCAGTTCATTTACCTCTTTCACACAACCCAAAATCCGCATCCCCTCACACAGGGACTAGAAGAGAAAAAGTGAAAAGTGTACAACAGGGAAAAGCAGAACAAGTGAGGAGGCTAGGGGCTGTGGCCTGTCTCAACTCTGACCTAGAAAAGCTACAGAAAACACATGTGTGTATTATGTCAGGACACTTATCAAATAGCTGGCTGAGCAGCGTGAAACAGCACTAGGATACTCAAGGACACTTTTAACTTTTGCTTTACTCCAAACATTCCACACTCAAATGCCTGGCAGACAACAACATGAAGGAAGCAGGTCAGTGGAGACAATGGCAGTGTGGGGTGTGTATGCCAGACCTAAAGGGCTCAACCACTACTCACCTCCATGTGACTACAAACATGAGGGAACATGAGTTCGTGCTGTAAGCATGCTCAAATTCTTACAAGAAGCCAGAAATCACATTCTTAAAATTTTATTTGTTTTGAGAGAAAGAGAGCATAGGCAGAGAAGCGGCAGAGAGAGAGAATCCCAAGCAGGCTCCGTGCCATCAGCACAGAGCCTGATATGGGGCTCGAACTCATGAACCATGAGATCAAGACCTGAGCCAAAACCAAGAGTCAGAATTTAACCAGCTAAGCCACCCTGGCAACCCCAGAAATCCATTTTCACATGAAACTTTTTCTAATGTTAACACAAAGTTAAGAAATTATTTTTTCTCAGGGATGCCTGAGTGGCTCAGTCAGTTAAGCATCTGACTTCGGCTCAGGTCATGATCTCACAGTTCATGAGTTCAAACCCTGTGTCAGGCTTGTGCTGACTGCTCAGAGCCTAGAGCCTGGAGCCTGCTTCAGACACTATCTCTCTGCTCTTCTTATGCTCTCTTTCTCAAAAATAAATAAGTATTTTTTAAAAAGTCTTTATAATAAAAAAAGAAATTATTGTTCTGAGTGTCACAGAAGCAAATCAAATACTTCTGCAGGCTGAATTTGAATCTTTTCCTTCAGAGTTATTTGACTTCTTTTTTTCTTTTTTACAACATACATCCAAATTATAATCTAAAAATCTAAAGAAAAATAAAAGACCTCTTCTCCAAGAGAATCTCCACAGCTACAAAATGAAACAGAAGTCGTAAGGTTGTTAAAGTTATTGCCAGCTCTAACCTATGAATCTACTAAAGCACAAGCTCAATGAAGCCATAAGCACAAGGGACTCAGCAGCTAAAAAGAAAAACAACACATGATCCCAGGCCCTGGGTAATAGTCAAAGGCAATAAAGTTCAATTCTGAGCACAAACTGCACAAAATCTCTCCAGGAGGGCATGCACATGCACACGTGTATGTACAAAAGGAATGAAGGAAAAACGAAAGGAAAGAGGGAAGAAAAACACACACACTTAAGGAACTCAAGTAGTTTGTTTAGAACAAAATCAAATTGTAACAAACCTCAACACTAAGGATTTCAAACTTCTCTCTTATAGACTTGCTGCTTTCTCTCTTTTCGATTTTCAACTTTTTTGTTTTCGTTGGTCCTTTCTGGCTCTTTTTCCTTTTGGCGGATTCTTCTTCAGTAGAAATCTACAGAGGGGGAAGAAAGATCCCAAGGAATGAGGAGAAACAATCCTGGACTTTCCTTGCAACTTCAGGTCACCTGTCACCTTGCTTTCGTTACCCCACCACTGCCCCCCTCCCCCAGGGTTCCTGTAATTCCTGTTCTAATCTCATCTCTCCCATTCTGCCACCTTTGTTCAAGCCCAAGGTGGGAGCCTTCTGCACATTTTCAAAAGCCCCTTCTCTTCTGTGTTCTTCCTCCCTTGACTGGGATGGACACTGGGGTCCCCAGTATGAGAGGCAATTTGGAAGAGTGTGTGAAAACGGAAGGTGGAAACACAGAGACCAGAGTTAAACTCCCAACTCCACCACAACAAACTATGTGGTTTTAGCTCAAACATATAACCTCTCTCAGCCTCAGTTCCTCATCACGGAATGATGTTCTCTACTCCAACATAGTTGGACAGATTTTCATGACTTATTTCGTAACTTTTCTCTCCATCCTTAACCAACATGGCAAAAATTTCTAAGACTAAAGAACAGCACTGCAAACTCAAGTACTAAATGCGATGCTTCAAAAAATATAGCCTCATGGTTGTATGGACTCTCTAACAAGTTCACCTTACAAAAAGAGACTTCAAAAAGAAACGAATATGGAAAATACCACATTCTCAAACAAGGTTCATTCTTCACAAGGATACTAGAAAGTGTTCAGTGAGTCCTACCAAACAAGCACACCACTTACATCAAATAAGTTGTCCTGTTCAACTGACTGCTGGAAAGTTTTCTCTGATTTGTGGGTCTTTCTTATACCCCCTCGGGGGAAGCTTTCTTCCATGGTTGCCGTGTTTGAGTCTCCTAAAAACAATGCAAAGAGTATCAGTGAGATGTAGCTTTGGTGTCAGATTTCCTAAAGGCTGTGATCAATGGACAAGAGGTAGAGCTTTCTAGCACCAACGTGCTAGACAATATTCAGACCTAAGAAATAGACGGTTTGATGCTAGGCCCCAAATAACCATAATTCATCTTTCCAATGATATCTGCTTCAAAACCATAAGTCCATACATTCTCCTCCAGAAAAAGAAGACCTAGATCCAGCATAGTAAATATAGAGCAGCTACAGCTAAGTCAGAGGTACACAAATGAATATATAAATCCCTATCTTCAAAGAACATGCACAATTTTAAGGAAATAAAGCAACTATGCAAACAATTTAAAGTACAATTTGGGGCACCCAACTGACTCAGTCAGAAGAGCATGCAGCTCCTGATCTTAGGGTGGTAAGCCCATGTTGGGTGTAGAGATTACTAAAAAAAGTACAAATCAGGAGTGCCTCAGTGGCTCAGTCAGTTAAGCGTCTAACTCTTTTTTTTTTTTTTTAAATGTTTTATTTGTTTCTAGGAGACAGAGAGAGACAGCGTGAGCAGGAGAGGGTCAGAGAGAGAGGGAGTCACAGACTGAAACAGGCTCCAGGCTCTGAGCTGGCAGTCAGCACAGAGCCCGACGCGGGGCTTGAACCCACGAACCGCGAGATCATGACCTAAGCGAAAGTCGGACGCTTAACCGACTAAGCCACCCAGGTGCCCCAAGCGTCTAACTCTTGATCTCATAGCATCATGGGTTCAAGCCCCATGTTGGGCTCTGCGCTAGGCATGAAGCCTACTTTAAAAAAATAAAATATAAATCAAATTATAAACAAAGAAATAGGAAATGATGAGACTTCAGAAAAGAAGGTAAGGTTCTTAAAGAAGATGCCTTCGAGCTGTTAAACGTGAAAAAGATTTTGACAAATGGAAAAGGAAAAGCAGGAGTATGAGAAAAGGCATTCAGTTAAAGCCAAATATTTCAATAATCACCAGCAATTTGTCAAAAAATTGCTCAAAAAGTTGCTGTTTCTTTTCTTTGAAGAACTATTCAACTAGACCACAGGGAGAATAAAGCATAATAATAAAAGCTAAATTGTAGATGACAAGTGGGCTTTTTTGTGAAAGATTTTGAATTAGATAGAAGTAGTTTAATGTTTACTTTGATTAAGTCAGAGTCTTAATTAAGGGAAGAAAGAGAGCAGCGATCAAAAATATACTACAGGCTATAAATTGGACAGGATGAGAGACAGGACTAAGGAAAGTAAACAGGGTATAAGTCAATTGCAGAACAGAGAGAAACCATCCGAATGACAACTAGGTACAAGTGAGAACGGAAGGTAGAAGAAATTGGTTGTGAGAGACCCTTGGTATAAGGATCTAAAAAGTCTTGAGACTGTAGAAGAGGAGACGACCCACTGGGTGCCTTGGAATCAGGAACAGGTGTGTCAATATTTCATAGAAATAGAAAAGAGCCAAGAAGTCTAGTTTGCAGGGAATTTGACTGTTAGTCTCACTTCAGACAACGGGAAACTGAAGCTTCAAAGAGACGATGCAGCGGCATAGAAGGGACTTAAGCAACTTTCCAGGGACAGAGCTTGATGTGACGAGGGCCACTCGAGTAGAGCCGCCTCATGAGCTGCGCTGGGGTGGCCGAACCACTCACCCAGCACTGTAGGTGCACAGCAGAGACCCAGAAGACCTAGCCCTGGGACAGACCTGGAAGCCACGAGGTTTCCACCTTTCTCGCCCTTGTCCTCACTTACCAGCCCCGCGACGCCAGCACCTCTACACTTCTGAGCCGGTACCACTGCAGTCACGCACGCGGAGACCAGCACACCCACACCCCAACACTGCTCTTCCGGAAGCGAGGGCGGGCTTAAGGCCCTACTTCCGTTACCATGCTTGGTCCTTCAGATGGGAACGGTGCGGGAGGGGGAGAGATTTAGAGACAGGAAGCGGAAGGGAGGGACTCCGAGCCGTAGCCAATCGACAGTGAAGGCTGAGTCTCTGTGGCCCGTTGAACGCGGGCGGGGGGAGGAGGCTTCTTCCGGCCGGCGGCGGGGTAGCTGCGTAGGCTGAAGGACACAAGCAGCGGAATTGGTGTCTTTTGCAAGGTCGGTGTGTGGAGGGGAACCCGGGCTCAGGCCTTAGCCTCCGCTTTGCAGGGCAGGCATAAAAATTCCGCCGTTCCTAATCCGGGAACACCGTTTTGGGGTGCGAGAACAGTGGAAAATGGAAATGGAGTTAGAGATAACGAGGGCCGGGGCGCGAGGGGTCGGACTCGTCTGGGAAGCCTCGGGACGAGGCGGATAGGAGATCCCAGAGGCTCCCATGGTTCCCCAAGGCCCTTAGATTGCATTTTACAATGGAAGATAATGAGGTCCGCAGCGAAGGGAGTCCCCCAAGGTCACCAGAGAAGTCATATTGAATGGGACTCGGGCCTCTGGCCAAGTTAACCTTTTTTCTGTGTGCCCATAGCAGTTTGCTTCCACCGTGCGGTGCTTAGGGAGCTGACCAGCAAGGCCTTTAGCTGCGCTGCAGCTTTTGTCAAAGCGAGAGTGAGTGTGGCCCGGCCCCTGCAGTTCGCCAAGCCCGCGGTAAGCGGGTTAGATTTCAGTTTGTGTCCGATCAGTCGGAAAGGCTTCCTAGGAGATAGCCAGAACAGAGAGCTGTAAATTCCTTGAAGTGCAAGAGGCTGCTTCTGGTCCCCGAGTGGCTCTCGACTTTGCCACCTTTTACCTCGTGATCTCACCATTACAGGTAGGTCCAGTCAGAGAGGAAAATTGCAGTTTGAAGAAACGGTAACGAGGGCAGTTGGTCCCTTTGGGCCTTTTTTCTAAAATGCCCATTTCACAGGTGTAAAAAAAGACGTGGAAGGCTTAATGTTTAACAAAGGTGGGCCGGTTAATAAACAAGAGCAAGACCCCTTGCTTAGATTTCTCCACGGGCTACCATTTAACAATTAGTATATTATTAGTCCCAAGTAATTTCCTCCATTATTATTAGGTCTTTCTAAACTTTATAGGATTTAAAAAGGAGTAAGATTTCAGTGTCAGTTATTCCACAAAGGGTGCTCTAGCACAACGGTTCCTGATATTTGTCCAGAAGTAACCTGTAGTTTGCTGAGGGGTGCAGACCCAAGTGCCTGTAGGCTTTTCTCCCATTGTTTATTTCACAGGCAACCTTTTACTCCCCACTCCTGCCTCCATCACACCTTCACAAAGTCTTAAGACCCAGACTAAATTTCAGTTCCTATGCCATGCCCTTCCGAGCAGTCAAAATTAGTCCTCTGTGGAATATCCCAGCCTTCCTCCTATAAAGTGTAGAGAGAAATCTAAATTACTTTAGTATTGTTTCATTTGGACACCACTTCCTGTTAAAAATTTTTATTAGGCACAAGGTCATGTGGTTATCAGTTAATAATTTGATGAAGTTAAGCTCCTGTTTTAAGTTGGGTTTCTCCTAGAAACCTACTTAATACCGTAAGAATACAAAAGTACCATGAAGATGAATGTGGGGAAGAATATGCCTTTAATAAGTCTAGTAGAAGGAAACAAGTTAATGTAACAGCTACATTATAAAGATTTATTTTAATGGAGATTTTCCTACTTGGGCTGGAAAGGCCAAGGCCCCTGAGGGGTCCGAAGGAAGTTTGGATTTCCTTCATTGATTCAAGAACTTTGAAACAGTGTTCTGAATTAAGGTCATTTGTCCAATTTTCCATTGCCAATTCTATGCACGTGAAAGCCTCTGAAGCCCTTTGAATGGTAAACTGGTGAGTACCAGTTTCCATAGCAACGACTTCCTCACAGTTCTCTCCCTCTTCATTTCATCAAGAGCCAGCTGAGTCACTGCCACTGCCTACCAATCTCGACCGGACCTCGACCGGCTCGTCTATGTTGCCAATCGACTCGGCGTGGCGTCGGTCGTGGTAGATAGGCGGTCATACATACGAATTTTCAAGTATTGTTTTGGTGACCTTTGAATGTGCCTTCGTTATTTTTTTATTATAACAAATATATACCTCTAAAATATAGGTACTATGGATATGTCTTCCTAAAAGTTGGCTGCGCATTTTTCCAGAGTTTTTTTCTATATAATTACTAACAAATATTTGGTTTTCTATTACTGCAATGTTTTTCAAACTGTAGCTTACATCAGAAACACCTAGATTGCTGGGCCCCAGAATTTCTGATTGAATAGGCCTCTGATTCCTCCTCTTCCCATACAGGAAAAATTGTGAAAGAGGTTGCTAATTGAGCTGTTTTGTTTCTTGATGGTTACCCTTCTGAGAAACTTTGAAATGTATCACAAGCTCCAACTTGCAACTAGTGTTAAAACTGATTGACTCTATGCACTGCGTAATATGGTATAACTAGAGCCAGGAATGAAAATATCAAGCAGCATTGGGTTAGAGGGTGGACTTAGAGACTACTCGATTTCCTTCCTGTGCTAGGTGATTTGATGTATATTCTAGAATGCTGTATAGTAGCCACCATGGTAAAGTCTTCCTTCTGAATGGTAGGCTTATCAGTAAGGCTTTTTCCACCATCTTTGCTGCTACTGTGTTGGGCAAGACATGTGTAAAAATTTATAAGACTTCTGTGCAGTGACTTTTAGGTTTTAAAGTTAAAAAAATGTGGGGGGAGGGGGTTGTCTGGCTGGCTCATTCAGTGGAGCATGCAACTCTTGATCTCTGGGTTGTGAGCTCCAGCCCATGTTGGGTGTAGAGCTTACTTTAAAAAACTAAAATCTTTGAATTAAAAAAAATTACTTTTCTTTTAAATTGCATCTAAACCAATTTATTGTTTCTTTCTTTTTTTAAAAAGATTGAAGTCATGGCAGGTCCAGAAATTGATGCCCAATTCCAATTCACTGGTATCAAAAAATATTTCAACTCTTACACCCTCACAGGTAGAATGAATGTAAGTATTAATGATACCTTTCAGCAGTTATGTTTTAGAATAATAGAGATGGCAATGGCTTTTGTTTACTTTGTCCTTTTTTTTTTTAGTGTGTACTGGCCACATACGGAAGCATCGCTTTGATGGTCTTATACTTCAAGTTAAGGTCTAAAAAGACACCAGCTGTTAAAGCAACATAAACAGTAAGGACCTGACATTTAGAAGTTTCTAAGTTAGACATTTTGTTAGCATTCTTTCCCTCACTATAAAAGTAAATTGTTGTCATTATGCAAAATTATATACAAGAAAAAGAGGAAAATATTGTTCATAGCCCATTACCATGACAATTTTTGTTAACATTTTGGTTTGGCTCTTTTTGTATTTTTTATTTGGTTTCCATTAGCTATGAGTCGTATCTGTAATATGGTCTTATAGCAAGTATGTTGTTATTTGAATCCATGAGTGTTTATGGATATATGATTTTTGAGAGAGAGAGAGAAGGCACAAGTGAGAGAGGGGCAGAGAGAGAAGTGGGACTCACCTGAAGCAGGGCTTGTGTTTTTACCTGAAGCCGGACTTGAGCTCATGTGATGTGGGACTCAAACTCAGGAACCATGAGATCAGGACCTGAGTCAAAGTCACATGCTTGACTGGGCCACCCAGGTGCCCTGCATGTGTGATTTATATGTTTCCTATTAGAATTTTTAAAAATATAAATAACACTGAACACTTTTGAGCCTGAAATGTTACAGGATTGTTTTAGACTTAGGTGATTTCCCCAAGGGTAGTAGGGCACCCAGCTTAGTACGAGAGTGTCTCTTTTGCCCTAGCCAATGTTGAATAATAATCAGTTTCTGATTTTTGTTTATTTGATGAATGACAATAATTTGTCTCTCTAAGTTTATTTTGAGAGAAAGCACGAGCAGGGGAGGGGCAGAGAGAGAATCCCAATCAGATCCTGCACTGCCAGCACAGGGCCCAATGTGGGGCTGGAACCCTAGAGCTTAGAGCTATCAGATCATGATCTGAGCCAAAACCAAGGGTTGGTCACTTAACCAACTGAGCCACCCAGGCACCCCTAATTTGTCTTTTTAATGAAACTGTACATTTTTTCCGTTTACCATATATACTTTTCTTAATGTTCTCTCGTGTTTTTGTCATTTAACAATTGAGTCTTGGGGCATCTGGGTCACTCAGTTGGTTAAGTGTCTGACTTCAGCTCAGGTCATGATCTCGCAGTTCTTGAGTTTGAGCCCCACATCAGGCTCTGCGCAGATAGCTAAAAGCCTAGAGTCTGCTTCGGATTCTGTGTCTTTCTCTCTGCCCCTCCCATGCTCATGCTCTCTCTCTCTCTGTGTCAATAATAAGTAAACATTAAAAAACAAAATTAAAAAAAAAAGCAATTAAGTCTTGTCTTTGTGAAGACAAGCTTATATTTCTCTTATATAAGCTCTTTATGTAATAATTATTAGCCAGCCTTTTAAATACATTACAAATCTTTTTGCTAGTTTCTAATTTTTATATAAGCAATTTTATCTTTCCCTTAAATTCCCATAGATTTGGTTTTCTTCTTATGGTGCCCCACAGTCTCCATTTGCTCATGCTCAAGTGAATAAATATTTGTCTTGGTAGTAGATGATGTGCACAAAACCCAAATCTAATGTAGCTCTCCACAGAAAATTTTTCCTGTGCTCTTAAAAGCTTTTCCAATCTCAAAACTGTTGACTGTTACCCAGAATATAGTAGTAGTCCATGGCTTATTCCCGACAAACAGTATTTGCCCAGTTTTCCATTAGGTACCTCCCAACTTTGGGAGGGTGGTAGTATCCTCATGATAAATATGGAGAAATTTTATCTCTGATACTAAGTAACAGATTGCTTTCCACTATTTAAAATGTTACTTTGCACTTAGACTTTTCCAATAGCATATATCAGGATCATACTGAATTCCTGGCAGCTCTTTTGTTAAAGATTAAGTTAAGTTAACCTGTATTAAGCTGAGAGACCTCTTCATTTTGGGGTGGTTACTGACTCTGAGAATCTGATAAATTTGCATTCAATTTCAGGGGCTTCATGGAGAGTCCTTATAATTACTATCTTAAAAGTAGAGTTGAACACAATTGTGTCTAAACTACCTTTGCTTTGTTTATAGGATTTTAAAGTGTACCTCATCTGCTAAGTTCCCATGCCTGGAGAAGCTAATGTCAGCTCATCATGTGATACTCAATTTGTACAATAAATTATGAACCTGGAAAAGCTGGTTGTCTTTATTTACAAGATATCAAAAATATAAAAACTGTACAAAATGCAACAAAGGCAAAAAACTGGCAGTGACTTGGTCTAAATCTTTTAGTTTCCCAAAGCAAGGCTCAGTATTGGAGGTAAGCAACTGAAATGTCTGTCTGACTTCAAGTGTACTAGGTTGTATGTAGCTGTTTTAGCTGAAGTAGAACATGGAAGCTAAATTTCTTCACCTGGTTTATAGAGTGTTTAGGTGCACTCATAATGCAACAGTTATAAATTCAGATGTCATTGGATGGTTGTACTTCATCTAGTACTTAGAAAGGAACTGTAGTTCACCCTACCCAGTAACGTACATTCCACTAGTCATGGGCCAAGCAAAAAGGTTAGTGGATCATTTAACATAGTACTTGAGTGCCATACAGTAACTACATTTTTACAGCAGAAACACACATGCTCATAGAATTCTTCAGCTAAAATTCAAGATGGTATTCTATTACTTGATTTGAATCTTGAAGCAGGATGAATTATTGTAATTGATTTTTTTCCTAAACATAATAAATTAAAATAGCATTTGAACAGAAAATGCATAGTTTCCACACAATCCAAAGCACCATAAATGTCCCCTCCACGAACATAATACCTCTTATTCAACTAACGGAAATTAGTTAAATGTGGTTGCTATAGAAACGTGGAACTGTCCTGTTCAGATTTTTCAAGCAGCATCCTTCCAGATCCATATAGACAAAACATTCTTTGTAGCTTAAATATTAATCACTGAGGTATTTGCTTTTAGTCTCCCTTTTTCAAACAGTAGCTTCTAAGAGGTCCTTAATACCGATGGTTTATTGCGGACTATAAGCTCCTGCAGCTAGAACCAAGTTTCTTCGAGTAAAATGGAGGTGTACAACTGGCGTTGATTTGGTCATGTATGTTCCCAGCAATAACTCCTGTGAATTCTCAGGTAAATTTATATGCCCAGTAGCTGTAGTAAAGTCATCGGTCTCTAAATCTTCAAATGCCTTAACAGCATCCCATAACCGGACTGTATTATCCATTGAACCTATAGGAAGGTCAAAGGAAACCATTTAGTAGCATCTACCATATTTAGATTCTGACATTTTGTCAAATATACTTCACATATTTACTGTATATTTCTGGTGAAAATATCTATTCTTCCTTCTAAAGGACCTTTTCAAGCAGTTTAACCTGAGAAGTCAACAAACATGTTGGCTGGAATCATGGCTAAGAGAAGCAAAAACCTAACACAGTCAACACTTTTGTTTTAACATACCATCCCTTTACCACGAAGTCATTTCTAGTCATTTACCTGATGCCAAAATTTCACCGTCTCTACTAAACCTAAGTGAACAGACTGTATCAGTGTGGCCTTTTAATTCTCCAACCATCAAACCATGTCCAATATCCCAAAGGAGTACTCTGCCATCCGTTGCTCCTGTAGCCAGGAATCTCCCATTGGGAGAAAATGTCAAGGAATGAATTGGTCCCTAGAAAAAGAGGCCATAAAAGAAGAATCAAAAAGTTAAAAATGAGAAAATAAGACAAAGCTAGAAATTTTAAAGCTTAGTGGAATAGTTTCTTTCAAATGTGTCACTGGTTAATTTTTAAAATATTTATCTCAGAGGCAAACTTGTATGTGTAAAATACCTTGTGTCCAGTGAATATCCTTACACAGTTCCCATTCAGGACATCCCAGAGCCGCACCGTTCTGTCTGCAGAGCCCGTAGCAACATAATTAGAATTTGGATGGAATCTAGTACAATTCACATCAGCAAGATGGCCAGCAAATATCCTTAAAGGCTGATAGTGGTCTGTAGCCCAGAGCCTTTTAAAAAATACATTGAAAGCAACAAATGATACTTAATGGCTAACTGCCAAAATTCAAAAATAAATCATAGAAACACCATGTGAAATGTTAGATCCAAATGACTGCCCCTTCACTAGCTGCCTGACTGAGGGAAAGAAAATGGAATGACTGAGACAAAATAACATTCTTAAGGAAAACTAAGTTGATCTAGCACAAGATTTTTTTAATTCTATAGTTCTCGGTACCCCCCTTTACCTCAATTCCTAGTCTAAACCATAGAAAAGTATTTTTCCCTAGTTTTGGCTACCACAAAATCAGTTTCTAGCCTGAGCTGCCTCATCATGAACAAGAGATCAGAGGAAAACACAGGTGCACAAAAACATGAAAGACAAGGGTTAGCATCTAGCAAGGGAGGGGCTGGAAGCATGTTAATAAGCTAGCTTGAGGGGGAAAAAGGAGGACTCTTAATCTTGGTATAGACATAATTGCAGTCAGAGTAATACTTCTCCCAAGTTCATTTTCAAATATGAAGCTATAAGTATTGACATTCTCGAAAAGTTGATCCCATATAATAGGAGTGAAAATGAGTTTGGCTGGAGTTTTTAATTCCCAAAAAGAAACCATTCTGCCAGTCATAAGATCACAACGTTCTTACCGAGCTACTCGATCATGGCCCCCAGACACAAAATAATATCCATATGGAGAAAACTGTGTGTCCCATACTGGGTAGTTGTGTCCTTTATATCCCACCAAGCAAGTAAACGTTTGAAGACTCCACAATCTAACAGTTCCATCTTCTGAAGAGGAAAGCAAGTAGTTCCTGAGGGAAAAGAAGGTAATACATTTGATTCCCAAAATAACTTAGTTACCTGTCCAGTTTTCTCTTTATATTTGAGTATGTTAAATACAGCTACCCATCTCCCTTTTTACTTTATACATGGAATTCACAGTAGATAACAAAATTGAAAGTACTAACCAAACTGATGTTAGCTGTGACACTCTACAAAGCACCTACTAATGAGGTTACATTATTTTTAAAAATATATTGGAAAAGCCACAGTTCTTATAAAATTATATCAAAGGGTACCAACAAAAAGAATGGTCAAAAAGGTCAGTGGAGAAAAACTAAGAAATGTGATATAAGATGTTACTTAAAACTCAACAATTTTTTATTTTAAAATGAAGATGCTATTTTCCTATCCTGTATGACTTATGTAAGTATTTAAAAGAAGTATAGCCTTCACACCCAGCATGGACCCCAATGCGGGGCTTGAAATCACAACCCTGAGATCCAAGACCTGAACTGAACTCAAGAGTTGGATACTTAGCCACCCAGGTGTCCCAAAAGGAAATATCTTTTGGACAAAAAAATACAAAAACACTATAGATAATAACACTGTAAATAATACTTTTAACTTTTTTCAGAGATAAACACAAAAGCTGAACAACTCAGAAAGTTGTTATGGTTTTCACTGAAATTAGAGGTTTCCCTCAGTTAAAAATGTATCATCTGTCTAAACCCTATCAAAATTTCATTCTCAAGGTTTCATAAAGATGAAAATCTTGGGGCGCCTGGGTAACCCAGTCGGTTAAGCGTCCGACTTTGGCTCAGGTCATGATCCCACAGTTCAGGGGTTCAAGCCCCACGTCGGGCTCTGTGCAGACAGCTAGCTCAGAGCCTGGAGCCTGCCTCAAATTCTGTATCTCCCTCTCTCTCTGACCCTCCCCTGCTCATGCTGTCTTTCTTTCTCAAAAAAATTTTAAAAAAACATGAAAATCTTGGTGGACTGAAAGCTATTAAGATACAAATGGTACTATAAATATAAAATCCCCTTCCATTTCTACAGAATGTCAGAGATCATGAAAAATAAGTAAATACCTATTTGTGGGTTTCAAATTCCCTTTTCAGTATCGTCTTAATTCTTTTGATTATACAAAATCTTCAGCTGACATCTAATCTACCTTAACATCAGGAATTTGTTCTGAATTTGGAGATGATGGAATACAGCAGTAGCCACAAGCCCAAGGCGAGAACCCAAAGAAGCAATTCAGCTCCTATAGGGGTTCTACAAAAACTAAAGCAAATTTTTAAAACCAACAAACCCTGAATCTGTGCATCTTGAATCTATAAATTTAGGTATAAAGCTGCTACCTTGTATACCAGTACCCCAAGAAGAATAAGCAAATGGCAAGATTCTAAAAGATAATGAGAGGTAACCATGAGATTTTTCTAACATAATTTTTCCCCACATGTTTCCAGTAGTTAACTTTTATAATCTCAATACAATACAGCAGTATTTCATATTTTATTTGTATTTTACCTATCCGGACTGAAGCTGGCTCCATAGACAGGCCCACTGTGACCGTACAAAATCTTCAACTCACTTGCTGTTTTCTCATCCATTATTCTTTCTAAGACATCATCTGATTCTTTGTCTATGAGGCTAAGATCTAAAATGGTCCAGAAATATTGATTTTTAAAAACACATTTAAAAAAAGGATATTCATTAGAACATGTTAAGGCAATCACATCATTATTTAGGAGAACTACCATTTGAACAGTTCCTCCTGCATAGCAACCACTGTGCTAATGCCCCTAAACTAGGTGATATTAGCCCAGTATATAGAAGAGGAAACCAAGGTTTCAGTTAAAAATTTGCCAGAGTGCACACATCTACTCCGTGTGGGAACTATGACTGAAACTCAAAGTAATCCACTCTATCATAATGTTTTACACAAATGAAAACTATGGAAATATTTTTTTTTGAAAACGTATTCTCTTGTTTAAACAATACATTTAGCAAGAAACCTTTAAAGTGAAATTCCATCCTTATTCTTTTTTAGCCATTTTTATGTTTAAAACAGAAGTACTCTCCCTCTATTTACAGACATTTTTAAAAATTTAGTCATAAAATTAGATTTTTAACCTTACAGAGTTTTCTAGCCCAGCCCCCTCACATTCTACAGATGAGAAAACTGAGGCCCAGAGAAGTTAAACCAGTCTAGTACCCCAGTCTCCTGATTGCCACTCCAATGCACTTTTCACTGTTGGGAACATTAACATTTTTTTTTAAGTAGGCTCCATGCCCAACATGGAGCTTGAACTAATGATCCTGAGATCAAGAGTCACATGCTCCACCGACTGAGCCAGCCAGGCACCCTGGGAATGTTAACATTTTGAGTTAAA